TTCTGCAGGGTTATTCTGATCGGGGAGCACTATCTCTGATGCACTTAGCATCGTGTTGGTAGGTACTTTATGAATGGTTTATAAATGTTAGTCAAGTCTGAGAAGCTTCCAGACTAGAAAAGCATCCTTGAAGTGGATTCTGTGAGTCCAGAGTTCTTTGGTCATAAAAATCTCATTACCTCCCTGTACAAGGACTTGGCTGCACTGGTGGCAAGGAGCCTGCTGGGTCCAGCTGAAGGGACGCTGTCCAGGGCAGGGTCACCTGGGCATCTGACGCAGCTCAGGGTAGCAACACTGACACGCAAGGGAACCCGGCCCTCAAGTTCAGAACACTCAGCCTCTGGAGGTTTTCCGGTAGGGCAGTGACATAAAAGACAGACACTCTGTGGTCACAGTGGGAGAGTCATTCAAATTGCGTATTTGGGGCAGGCCCCGTGCAGGCTCTTGGAAACCACTCATGGTACTAGCCAGCCCTGCTCCCAGGGGAGGTGGGGAGAAAATGAAGCACAATAACTCGAAGGTTATTGCAGTACGTGAGGCTTACAGAGGTAAACACCTAGACGGGTAAGTCTCAATGAAGAGAGGAATAAGGAATTCTATGAGAACGTATGGCATTAATATATGTGGGGTACAATAAACAGCACCCGTTTTTATTGCCTCAGTTCAGATTCAACGAGAGAGAAGCAAGGAGTATGACACCAATGGGCACTTCTCTACAGGAGCGGATAGTACATGTTCCCTCCAACCAGGAGTTTGATAGTAATTTGAAAATGAAACATTGCAACCTAATTGATCTTCGACAAGATACACAGGTTAAGGGCTCAGTCCTGCAGGCCTGCCCCCAGCACACTCTTCAGATACCAGTCGCCCGTCCAGGTTGTCACCTGTGCTTCTGAGCAGCCAGCCAGAGATCAGAGGCTCCCATGACCCCCTCCTTGGGTTTAATTAATTTGCCAGAGTAGCTCGCAGAACTCAGAAACGTTTTACCTGCTAGATCACTCATTTACTATAAAAGGATTTAACTCAGGAGCAGCAGATGGAAGAGATGCACAGGGCAAGGTGTGGGGGAGGGGTGCGGGGCTTCCATGCCCTCCGGCACCACTGTCCCCAGATGTCCGCATGCTCTCCAAGCCAGGAGCTCTCCAACCTCCGTCTTTGGGGGATTTTGTGGAGGCCTCATAACATAGGCATGATTGATTAAATCATTGGCCATTGGCCATCAGGTCAACCTCGAGCTTGTGTGCCTTACCTGGGGCTGCGGGAGACAGAAAGTCTCCAGGTAAGCAGCCCCCTCCTTTGGTTACCTAGTGCCTTTCCATCAGTCACCTCATTAACATAACAAAAGGCACCTTAATTACCCTCATCACGGGAAATTCCAAGGGTTTTAGGAGCTCTGTGCCAGAAACCACCGGACATAGACTAAGTGTTTCTTATTATAAATCACAACATCGCCCTGGGGAAGAGATAATAAGACAGGAGATGAGAAGAGAGAGGGAAGGAAGGAAGGACTGGTCCTGGTCAGTAGAGGGCATCACTCAAATCCTAGGACATGACGCCACCCCGATGGCCACGATGGGGTAGGATGAGGTTCATTTCTTGACCGATGGGCAGTGCTGGCTGAGTCCCCGAAGCTTCCTTGTGGGCCAGCGCGTGCTCTAACTCAGAGGAAGGGCGGGCATGGAAGCAGGTGGCTCCCTCACCGGAACGCTCATCGTAGGCTGCGGCAGCCGCTCTCTACCCACGGATGAAGACACGGCTGGAGGAGGAGACGGCGTTGCCGGTTCTACTGAAGCGTCACCAACACACACGGCAAAGGGCGGAGAGACGGGCTTCAGCTAACGCAGGAGTGATTCGTTCTAAAGTCTTGGGGCTCCGTCGGAACTGCTCGGGGACCCCTCCCAGGAAAAGCATCACGTGCACTTGTCGGACACGCTGCTGCGGTCAGGGCCCTGGGGCAGCAGAGAGGAGCCCCGAGGAGAAGATGTCCCCGGAGGGTGCAGTCGAGCTGCGAGAGGAGCCCGGACACTCTGGGAGAGTCCCCAGGCACGTCCAGGACACAAGCTAGAGCTCCTTCATCAGCAGATGGGGCTCCGGGCAGGGGAATTTGAGTTAAGGCGCCGACGGTGAGCTGGCACGGCCCCTTCTGCTTCACTGCTGAATGCGCCTGAATGAATGGCGGGCTCAGACTGACTGGGTCACCCACGCAGGAAGGCCCGAGCGAGGTGGCGCTGATCTAGAAGCTTGTTTGGCAATGCCTTGCACGTTGAGATCTAAAGATAACCTTTAGGCACTGAGTTTTGTGTGAGGGAAGAGGCAGCAGCAGGGCCACCACTCTGTCCCTGAGCCTTGGCAGCACCACGCTACTCCCCGCCAAGCCTGAGAGGGCTCGCCGGGACCCCGGGACCCCGCACGCTCCCAGCCTCGGCTCAGAGACGCCACTGACAGAGGGTCACGTCTCTAGGCAACCAGCAAAGGGGGCATTCATTTCCAAGGCTCGGGGTCACAGTGACACGGCAGATGATGGGACATGGGTGCAGACAGTGGAGATGGGTTTGGAGGAGTCTGGAGAAGCATTTTTTGAGGCAGAATTGACAGGATTTAGTTCCCATTGAACGGTGAGCGTAGAAAGCAGTGACAGCATCTTGCAATCTGGGTGAATGGAAACTGAATCCATAAGACGAAAGAGGCAGAGTTAGGGGACGGGGCAGGACAAGGCGAGGCAGGACCTTGCAGTGAACATGGGCCCAGGGGAAGACAGTCACTTCATGGATGCATCTAAGGCCTGCGATGGAGCTTTCGGGGGCATCAGCCTGAGCTGGCAGCAGCAGCCATGGGAATGGGCCTGGGTGCCCGGGAGCAGCAGGGTGGGGGGAGGGA